GAAGCGGAAATCAGCTATGCTATATACGCAAGAATATGTTTCAGTTGTTTTAAAGCGTCACCATGAACAATTAGTCATCAAGATCTTCCATTCCTTATGTTCTGTGTGAGATCATTCAGAATCTGGGATACTGAAGTCAAATGTGTACATTCCTAGCTGGAGACTGAGCGGTACCATCTAGATGGTTATACAAACATGTTTGTTTGTTGTTTAACGCCGCAATGAGCAATATTCCAGCTATTTGGCCGTGGTCTGCCAAAAATCAAGTATGGGTTAGGCAATCCAGTGATCAACATCATGAGTATCGATCTACACCATTGGGTGAGTGTGAGTGAGTGTATTTTTACACCACACTCAGCAATATTCCAGTTTTATGGCGGCGGTCTGGAAATAATCGAGTCTGGACCAGACAACCTAGTGATCAACAGCTTGAATATCGATCTACGCAATTCGGATACGATGATGTGTGTCAACCATGTCAGCGAACCTGACCACCCGATCCCGTTAGTCCCCTCTTTTGACAAACATTGGTTGTGGAAGACCAACTGTCCTCTGTATGTGGTGTTATGTTTTCAATATATAAGTGATGGAGAGACGATATTGCATTGTTCATACCGTGCTTAATTAACTCCACTTTGGGACCTATTGAGCGAACACCTTTTTCCGTTGTTGAAGAAAGGTTTTCGCTGATCGGCCAAAAACCAGTATAACCCGGATCTCCACGGGCATTTTCAAGCATGTGATGCATCTGGTGCACTTAGGTATCTTTCATTGATCGATAAAGGCAACACCGGCATTTGTTGAAGCAAGTTCTCAAGCCATCGTTTCATCCAAGGAATGAGAAGAAACGAATTTCATCACAAAACAACCCTTCATATCTGTGACGTTGTTTTCATGAAAACATGGACGCACGCATGCCCTCGCTCCATCATCCGAGAATATTCCTCCGTGTGAATGATTTTACGACTCTTTGTCCGGTTTTCGATCAACACCCCCGCGATCACCATTCGTCACCACTCGCTCCTCTCCGTAAACTAGCTATTCGGCTTGTCCCGGAATAACACGAGTTGGTCACGAATGCCGCGATCACGTATGTACATGTAATGACATGAAATTCAACATCCTCAGCTAAGGAGGACGAGTGATCAAACTGTCCTTTATTTACCACAGAACGACGGCCGCATTGTGCTGCTCCCCACCAATCAACAGGCGATAATGGGAGAGTTCACTCAAACGCATCTCGTTCAGTTAGTGTTTATGGAATTTAAAAACATTCATGGAAACGCATAGACACTGACTGCACGAGAATTGCCTGCGAGTGAACTAGCCACGCTCCCAGATTTCATATGTTAGAATTTGAAAAAAATTTCGGTTTTCAACTCGCTGACACCAGACGTACATTTAGAGTTAGGTTGGAAAATCAGTCAGTTGTTAGATATTCATAAATTAGATTAGACAATCAGTGGGGTTTAGTTAGTAAAGAAAGTTAGAGGTTAGATTAGTTTAGTATTAGTCGGGTTTTGAACATTAATAGAGTTAGAATTTAGATATTAGGGGTTAGTGAAATTAGTTAAATTCTTAGCAATTCTTCAACGCAAAAGTTTACACATTCAGTTAGTTCTTCACACATTCGCTTTTTACCCATAAGTGTTATCATATTTAGTTCTTCAGTTCCTCATTAGAAATAATTGTTATCACGTTTAGTTCCTCAGTTTTACATTGTAGACAATAAGTGTTATCACGTTTAGTTCATTAGATTAAATTAGCAAATTTACGTTTCCACAAAAAGCGTCAGAACAAAAATGGTAGCAGAGCGTGGTTAGAATTAGTTCAGTTCAGTTTAGTTTGGTATTAGTCTGTCGTGGGTGTGTTGACAGATTGGTACTTAGTATTTTGATTGTGAAGTGTTATTTTGTATTGTGTTTGCTGATTGGTGGTAACGTTAACACATCTTGAGTGGGTTCAATATGTCGTTACCGCAAAGTAAACAGGAAGAAGCATCCCCATGAATCCTACAGAAAGTGAGTTGAAACTTTTGAAATTAAAAAGCAAAAAGCAGCTGCAAAACGTCTCTTACAAAAGTAAAATAAATTGTTGAGGCTAATAGAAGAAGAGCTGCCCTCTCGACATGCAGTGAGGGACATGATAAATCAAGTAAGTGTTCTACAGAGTAAAGCTATTAATGTCATCTGTGAAGTGTCAATAGCTTATAGTGAGTCTGGTGAGGTTGATCTGTTCAAGAAAACAAAACAAGAATTAGAAGCAGTTGAATGCGAAACTGACGCTGCTATTGAGCAGGCTAATTTGTTTTTAAAACATACACTAGAGACAAGTTCTGTCAGATCTGTCATGAGTGGCATTTCAAGGTTGTTTCGTTCGGAGGGCAATGCGCATTCACAGTCACAGCATGTTAGTCACAATTCCAGTCCACAGAAACAAGAAAATGAAGTTGAAGTGGGTTCCAATAAAAATGGACAGAATGATGAACAGATGAAACCGGTAGATAGTTCGAATAGGGACAATGCCAGACATAATCATGAACACACTGCAGATTATCGAGAGTCAGCAAACTCTATGCTTCCTGACAGACCACATGTTAGAACAACGCGGCCAAATAATGGTGACGATTTATGGAGACAACTTAAGCGAGTGTCTATTCCTATTTTCTCAGGCAAAGTAGTAGAATATGAAGGGTGGAAAGCAGCCTTCATGGCCTGTGTCGATAGAGCACCTGCCAGCAATGAATATAAGCTGCTTCAATTGAAACAATACCTATCTGGAGAAGCAGCTCAGCTTATTGCAAAATCTAGGGCATAGCGCTGCTATTATGACATTGCCTTAGAACGACTTGAAAGAAAATATGGGGGCAAAAGAAGACAGATTGCCTTAAAGTTAGAGGAAATATCTAACTTCAAACCATTGAGTCCTGGAAATGCAAAGGATTTAGACAAATTTGCTGATCTGTTGGACATTGCAGTAGTTAGTTTTCGAGAGGCTGACAAAGTAGAGGAGTTAGGAGATGGATGTCTCTATGCTCTGTTGTTAACAAAGTTAACAGAAAGCATGATTACTCGTTACAAAAGGTGGATTTATGAACAACAGCGACAGGAGTCAGTTGAGACTCTACGAGAATGGACATTGTTAGAGTCCAATTTTCAGACAATAGCAGTTGAAGCAAAGCAGGGCTTTTCAGGAAAATCAACAGTTGGTAAATCCAAACCAGGCACTTTCTTTGGCAATAAAAATCAGGATAAGACATCGAAATGTATTGTGTGTGAGGCTAGATTTGGCAATGTAAACAGTTCAAGGAATTAGACTTAGGAAGTCGATGGGATAAAGCCAGAGAATTGAGTCTCTGCTTTCGATGCCTAGGTACAAATCATCGTGGAAAGTTTTGTAGTAGATATGTTGTATGTGGAATTGATGGTTGCAAAGCAGATCACAATCGATTGCTTCATGGCAAGCAGAGGACAAGTGGTGGTCCACCTGCAGAGACAACCTATAGCAAACCATACACGCCTCAAGCTATAGGGTCAGAAGCTGGCACCCAAACAACAATGTCTACGTTAAAAGACACGTCAAATTATTTGGCGTTGAGAACTATTCCTGTAATTTTGAAAAATGGAAACCGTTCTTTGACAGTTAATGCATTATTAGATGATGCTAGCACTCAAACGTACATCAACGAGGATGTTGCTTCAGAGCTTCAGCTAGTGGGTGAATGTTCAACTGTCACAGTAAATGTCCTGAATAATAAAAAGGAATCATTTAGGAGCATGTCGGTTGAATGTGACCTTGAGAGCTTAGATGGGTCTTTCAAGACAAAGGTCAATGCTTTGACTACTCGAAAAGTGACAGGCAATATGAAAGTAGTCGATTGGAGGAAACATGCGCATAGATGGAAACATTTGAGAAATATTCAGTTTCCAAAACATTGTTTTCGTCCAGTTGTTGATATCCTCATAGGAATGGATTGTTTAGATTTGCATTGCTCACAGGGAGATGTGTGTGGTGATCCTGGAGAACCTATTGCCAGATTAACACCTTTAGGTTGGACGTGTGTAGGGAATGTATCAACGAATGAAAACAGGACACATTCATCAGAAACCTTCTTTGTCAGAAATGATACGTCTGGTACAGACAACCTTGATGTGATAGTTCAGCAATTTTGGGAAATGGAAGAAATTCCAAATCCAAAAACTGATATGAGTCACAATGAAAAGATCGCATTTGATATAGTCCAAGATTCACTAGAATATCAGAATGGGAGATACAGAGTTGCAATACCTTGGAAGGACAATACTGATTGTCTAGCAGATAACTATGATATGGCACTTAATCGCCTTGTGAATTTGGAGAAGAAATTGTCAAAAGATAAGGTTGTTTCTGATGCATATGCTGGAGTCATCAATCAGTATATTGAGAAAGGCTATATTAGAAAAGTAGATCCAGAAGAAACTAGAAACAGTAAATGGATTATGCCTCACTTCCCAGTAGTGAAACTTGATCGGACAACCACAAAGGTTCGTGTAGTTTTTGATGCCTCTGCAAAGTGTAAGGGGATATCTTTGAATGACTGTATTCATCCAGGTCCAAAACTACAGAATGACCTATTCGAGATTCTTTTGAGGTTCAGACAGTTTCCTGTTGCTATCATCTGTGACATAACAGAGATGTATCTCCAGATCGAGATCAGTGAAAAGGATCGACCATACTTTAGGTTTCTCTGGGAGATATGGATCAGGACAAAACACCTGGTGTGTACGAGTTTTCTAGGGTCGTTTTCGGGATGAACTGTTCCCCATTCCTTGCTCAATACGTTTCACAGAATCATGACGAATTGCAAAGAACAACATTTCCTTTAGACAGTTTTGAAATCAACATACATGGATGATAATATGGATTCCGTTCAAACAAAAGAAAAAGCAATAGAACTATATGAGCAGTTGAATGCAATGTGGTCATCAGCAGGGATGCATGCAAGGAAATGGGTATCAAATTCAGCAGATGTACTTGACAATATTCCAGTAGAGGACCGGCTGAAAGAGATCCAAATATGCTTAAGTGAATTACCTTCAGTGAAAGCTCTTGGACTAACATGGAATGCTGAAAAGGATGTTTTTTCAGTTTTCATATCAGATCCAGAACAAGAAGTTAACAATTACCAAGAGAAATTTCTTGAAAGAAATGGCAAAATATTTGATCCTCTTGGTTTGTTGACACCATTTTGCATAAGAGCTAAGATCATACTACAAGAAATGTGGATATCTGGTGTAGATTGGGACGACAATGTTAGTTCATATTTAACTGAACAGGCATTGCAATGGTGCAGTGAAATTGAAGGTCTTGCATCTCTTCAGATTACTAGATGTATGAATTTCCATCCTGACACCACACAGTTACATGTCTTTGTTGATGCGTCCTCAGAGTGCATTTGGTACTGTGATCTATGCAGTTACAAAATACATGATGGCATTACATCGAGCCACCTTGTTGCTTCAAAAACTCACGTGGCACCCATAAAGGCTGTTAGCATTCCTAGAATGGAGCTTATGGCTGCTGTTCTTGGCGTGAGGCTTCTTCTAGCCGTCTGTCAAGCAGTTGAAATGGCACAACACAGAGCGATTCTATGGACAGATAGTTCTAATGTGCTATGCTGGATCAGAAGTCAAAGTCGCTGTTTCAAAACATTCATTGCCAATCGGATAGGTTTCATACAAGAACACACAAATCCTTGTCAGTGGAAGTATGTTCCATCATCAGAAAATGCAGCAGACATACTTACACGAGGTACACATGTTCAATCCTTAGGGTCTAAAGAATGGCTGCAGGGTCCTGATTTCCTTGTGTTGGACAATTGGCCAGAGCAATCTGAAAAACTTGACTTTCCCGAAAACCTGGAAAAGAAGAAGTCTCCTTCCAAAGTAGTAACTTCTTTGTTTGCAAACCTTTCCTGCGAAGAGAATTGGATAGTGGAACCATCAAGGTTTTCCAGCTGGAAACGATTATGCAGGATTTATGCATACGTTTATAGATTCTTGAGTAACATCAGATCATCAGGTCTGAACAGGAAACAGGGAGTGATAGATTGCGAAGACATTGAAGATGCTGAAATGAAAATTATAGCACAAACACAGAAAGCTTCTTTTCCTACTGAATACGTAGCTTTGTTGAAAAGCAACATCTTACCTGTTAGTAGCCATATCTTAGCCTTGAATCCATTCATGGATGAACACGGGGTTATCCGATCAGCAGGAAGGCTGAAATATGCTGAAGTACTTTCCTATGATGCAAGATGTCCTGTAATACTTCCTAAAGGTGATCATGTTACCAAGCTGATCATCAAGAACTACCATGAGAAGAGTTTACATGGAGGTACCGAATGCTACGTTAGCAGCAATCAGTACCAGGTTTTGGATCGTGTCAGCTAGAGAGGAAATTCGAAGATGGGAGAGAGAATGCTCTTGGTGTCGCAGAAGAAAGGCCAAGCCTACACATCAAATCATAATGTAACTACCGCCTGTGAGAGTGCAAGCCTCATATCGGGCATTTGAAAAAGTAGGGGTGGATTATGCAGGTCCATTTATTACTCTTCAGGGTCGTGGCAAGAGTAGGCAAAAGAGATATCTTTGCCTGTTTACTTGTTTAGCATCCAGAGCAGTACACCTGGAGATTGCCTTTGGGTTAGATTCAGATTCCTTTTTGAGAGCATTGTTTCGTATGGCTGACAGACGTGGAATGCCCAAACTGATCATATCAGACAATGGCACAAACTTTGTTGGTGCAATCAAAGAACTGAAAGGGTTGATTTGTTGTCTAAAATCAGATGATGTCAAATCACAATTGGCCAACAAAGGTATCACATGGCGGTTCAATCCACCACATGCTTCACATTTTGGTGGAGTTTTTGAAACAATGATAAAAGCTGCCAAACGTGCAATTTTCGCCATTTTGAGTTCCAGCAGTATTACTGATGAGGAACTTATGAGTGCCTTTACTGGTGCTGAAGCCTTCATTAATTCAAGGCCACTCGCTTATCAAAGCGCTCATCCTGAAGACATCGTGCCTCTGACTCCCAATCATTTCATCCATGGACAGATGGGAGGGGAGTATTCACCGGAGTTAGATGCCTTTGATCTCCATCCACGTAAACGTTGGAGAAGGGTCCAGGAACTTCTCAGACACACTTGGCAACGATGGATGAAAGAATGGTTACCATCACTGAATGTTCGCAAAAAGTGGTTCACACCAACAAGGGATGTACAAGTCGACGATGTAGTGATGGTGATCTCCTCAGAAAACCCAAGAAGTTCTTGGCCTTTAGGTCGGATTGTCAGGACTCACCCTGGGAAGGATGGTCATGTGAGGGTGGTCGACATTCAGGTTGGTAAGAGCAACATTACAAGACCAGTGACAAAAATCTGTCCCCTTCACTGGGAATAAATCGACGTGGATGACAAAATGTGTATATAACCAGTGTAAATAGTTACCAAAAGGGTAGTTCAAACATATTTAGTTCATTTTAAATTGTTAGTTTATTTAGGTTGATAGATATGGATCTATCATAAAGGGGGGGTATGTTCGGGAGAGTTCACTCAAACGCATCTCGTTCAGTTAGTGTTTATGGAATTTAAAAACAATCATGGAAACGCATAGACACTGACTGCACGAGATTTGCCTGCGAGTGAACTAGACACGCTCCAGATTTCATGTTAGAATTTGAATTCAATTTCGGTTTTCAACTTCAGCTGACACAAGACGTACATTTAGAGTTAGGTTGGAAAAGTCAGTCAGTTGTTAGATATTCATAAATTAGATTAGACAATCAGTGGGGTTTAGTTAGTAAAAGGAAGTTAGAGGCTAGATTAGTTTAGTATTAGTTGGGTTTTGAACATTAATAGAGTTAGAATTTATACTAGGGGTTAGTGAAATTAGATAAATTCTAAGCAATTCTTCAACGCAAAAGTTTACACATTCAGTTAGTTCTTCACACATTCGTTTTTTACCCATAAGTGTTATCATATTTAGTTCTTCAGTTCCTCATTAGAAATAATTGTTATCACGTTTAGTTCCTCAGTTTTACATTGTAGACAATAAGTGTTATCACGTTTAGTTCATTAGATTAAATTAGCAAATTTACGTTTCCACAAAAAGCGTCAGAACACCGCCGCCATATAGCTGGGATATTGCTCAATTCGGCATTAAACAACGACAAACCAAGCAAATTATTCAAACATAAGAACATCAGATACATGTAATAAATTATGTGCCTAATCCACTCCCTAAGCTTGCTCGCAGCAATACATTTCTCCATTCTCAGCTGCCTGAGGGGTATCTAATCCAAGCTGGAATGTTAACAATCAGAATACCATCCCATCCGTTTGCTACCCAATCACTGCACGTGACATGACGCATTGTTTGAACAAAGTCTATTGCCTAACTACCTAGATGTTACTTTTCGTTTCTGATGCACATTTGTGTGAAAATTGCACTCACTCAGACCTGAATCTTACTACTAGAGGTGTGACGATGGTGAAATGTCACGATACAATACGTATCGCGATATCTTGGAATGATACAATTCGATTCAATGGATATCACGATATGATATCTTTAGTTATTTTCTTTAAAAAAAAGTATATTTTGATAGCAAGTAACAGTGTAAATTTTTACATAACAGTCAATTTCTAGAGAACATTAACAATTTTAAGGTCAACGATACATATCACGATATGAACAAAAGTATCGATATGTATTTATCATCAGATAAAGTATCAATCACAATTATCGATAGTAAGGTTGAATCATCACAGCTGTACTTACTACCGTTATAAAAGATCTCACAGCGATGTAGAATAATGAATTCACAAGATACCACACAAGTGTTTCGGTGTGGGGTAGGACCAAAGCCCAAGAAACTAATGACACTGTCATCCACCTCTCCTCTGTAATGGATGCCTGACTTCAGTATGATGTGTGAATTTACACAGCACCACTTGCTATCATTTGTTTCTTTCCAGCTATATCCCAGCTGCCTGTACATAATCGAAGTCTGGACCAGACAATCCAGTGATCAACATCATGAGTATCGATTTATGCAATTGGGTCAACCTGACCACCCAATCCAGTTAGCCACCTCCTACGACACACATGGGTTGCTGAAGACCAATTCTAGCCTGGATCTGCACAGGTTCCCACTTGCGATCACAGGACTATACATCAGCTGACAGCATCTTAGATGAAATAAAGCTAATGTGACATTATATTCTAACTCACTAACTTGGAAACACAGACACCTACCTGTAACTGGCCAGATCTGGTTCTGACAGGAACTCTCGCAGCAGCATGCCGTCTGTCATGTACTTGAGGATGGTTCTCTCCGACGTGCAGTCCTCAAACCTGATGCTGTAGCCAACCTGCAGCAGACGCTAGACTCTCAGCACGGACATTACATACAATCATAGAGAAGAGACATGAATACAGGTATTGAGCTTACTTATACATAGTTTTGCTTGAGAGATCATATGAAGTAATAAATTGTCACTGAAGTTATCAGTGAACTATTGGTATCTTCCCTTTCATTATTCACTTTCTCTGATGTTTATTATTTTAGAAATTTGTTACACTGAAGACTTTATCCATTTTATGAAATTTGAGATTGTAAAACAAATTTCTGAAATGTGCTTAAATTAAATTCACAAAGCATAAGCTTTGTGTTACAATAGTGGCCTTATTGGAAGTGGGCAATTGATCTCACCTCGTTTCCGAGTTTGTACCCCATCTCTTGTGCCACTCTGGATGCTACAGACATGGCCGCCACTCGTCGAGGCTGGGTGCATCCAACCATCATGCCATTTTTGTTGAAACCCTGAAACATTAATCTCAATCATAGTCCATTTGATTTCATTTGAGGCTAATGAATTGCTCACGAACACAAAATTTAGCTAAACCTGTAGGGGTTTCCAATTCTTTGAAGAGAATCTTCCTTGGGGTACATTTGCAACATTTTCGACATTTTCTGCAAATGAAAATGTCATGTGACAGTTGTAACAATAAAAGATTGTACAATAAATAAAAAAAACCTTTATATTTACTATACGGCCCCCCACCACGTGGATTTACCTCCCTTACCATGCATGCGTGGACAACCAGATGAGCACCCAAGCCCAAATCATCATTCCTTCTGCTGACAAAGCGTCAGTGAACAGAATTGCGAGGAGGTGGGATGATACCCTGTGTTCGTTTGATATAGACCTTGAGGGTCTTACGGACATCCAACGGGTGAGCACACGTTGGAGTGGTCCCTGATGTAGAAGGCAGGGAAAGAGAGGGAAGATCAATAGGAGCTGTCACGTGGAAAGCATGATTGATCTTCCAACGGTAACTATCCAGGAGGCGAATACTGACCCAATCAGGGTGAAAAACCGTCAGTGCCGGGTCGGACGACATTGTGTAAACATCGCCGAACCTTCTTCTGGATGTCACCGCCACAAGAAAGGCTGTTTTCCATGTTAACAACTGAAGGGAAATAGCCGATAGATGTGAGAAAGCAGGACCAGACAGCCAGTCTAGCACAATTGACAAATCCAAAGGTGGGCTGGTTCGCCTGAGAGCAGGTCGAACCCGATCCACGCCAGCTAAGAAGCGCTGCATAAGAGGGTGCTGCCCCAAAAGAGCGCCATCTGCAGGGGTATGAAAAGTGGAAATAGCAGTGCAGTAGCCACGAATGGTCGAAGCCGCCAAACCCTCTTCCAAATGAGACTGAAGGAACTCCAAAACTCGGACTACATCTGCAGAAAAGGGATCTGCAATCCCCCTATCTGAACACCAGCGCGCATAGCAGGACCACCTATCCTCATATTGAACATTTGTCGAATCCCGTTTCGAAGCCAGAATTGTGTCTGCAACTGCTGCAGGAATTCCGTGTGTTTCGAGGCTAGACCTGACAGAGGCCAGGCCACCCACTGGATCTGCGGATCCAGGTGCGGCACTCCGTTCTGAGTGAGAATGTCCGGTCATAAAGGTAATAGAACAGGCGGCTGAGCCAGAAACCTGAGAATTACCGGAAACCAGCTCTTGGAGCTTGCTGGGTGGATAGCTGGGAGAGGACCCTGGGGATCAGTGGTAGAGGTGGGAACGCCCACAGTACCCTGTCCAATCCAGCAGGAAGGTGTCGGAGGCCAATGCCTTCTGGTCCAGTATTCGAGAGCAGAGCACTGGTATCTGATTCGTCCCGCCACACGCGAACAGATCCACCTGGAAACGACCCATACAACTGGGAGATAACTCTGAATATCCACCGATCGAGCATCCACTCATGTGGGGCCAGGATCCGACGAGAGACCGCGTCTGCTTGAACGTTCTCCAGCCCCGGGAGATATACCGGAATCACCTGACAGTCGTACTGGTCGCATCACAGTAGAAACTCCGTCTCCCGAAGGAGCTCTGGAGACACCGTGCCGCCTTGCTTCAGAATGCACGTCATGGCCGTGTGGTTTGCAGACAAACAACCTGGCCCCGAACGTAATCCCGAAAGCGCTCGAATACCAACCTGGCAGCTCTCAGTTCTAACACGTTGATGTGAAGACGGGCTTGGGCTACGGTCCAGCGCCCGGACTCCGACAGACTGCCCAGACACACCCCCCCCAGCCCGTGAGGGATGCATCAAGGAGAAGACCCTGGAAAAATTCCTGACATCGGTCCACCACTGAAGGTGAGGGAATAACCACTCGGGAACTGTGAGACATTTCTCCAGATCCTCTGAATGAGCCCACAGATATGCCAAAGCCTGCTGTAAAGGGCGCATCCTCAACCTCGCCAATCACCGGGCTGAACAGAGGAGATCACCGAGCGAAGTGTCTCCATCTTGAAGGATGGAACCTCTATCATGCGGTTCAAACCCTTGAGGTTGAGTATGGGACGGAAGCCTCCATCTTTCTTCGGGACGAGAAAGTATGTGGAATACAGACCCGATAGTTCCTCTCCTGGTGGAACACGCTCTACTGCAGACTTGGACAGCAAAGCCTGGACCTCGTCTCGCAGAATACCCGCCTTGACTGGACAGGATGGCACCGGAGTGCGCCTTATGCCGGTAAACTCTGGTGGGCCTCGCTTCCAAAGTGGTAAGTGGCCGACGGTAACAGTGGACAGCACCCAAGGGTTGTTTGTAGCCTTCTCCCACTCCTGCCAGGAGAGGGAGAGGTGGCCACCCACTGGAACATCGGGCAGAAGCACATGGGTTGTCTCATGCAAATTTATTACCGGCAGGGACAGACCTGACAGAGGAGTTCGCATGTATAACAAAAAACAACAACACCCCCCCAACCCCACACACTGCAAAAAGGCTGCTGCGAACAGGTAGACTGCTCCTTGCCTCTACCCTTGGCGGGGTGACTCTTTCTCCTACTCATGCCCAGCAGCCGAAGCCAGCCAGCAGTCTCAGGCGTAGGCTGAGCCCTGGAGGAGGAAGTCGCGACGGGAGTACGGGAGCGAGAAAACCGCAGTTGCTCCAACAAGGATTTAGAGTCCTTTAGGAGGTAGCTGCGGAGACCTAGGAGACCTGCTGCGCCCAGCGGAAACAGAAGGGCCAGCAAGGTCTGCTGTTTTGCCGTGGAATACCTGGAAATCGACAACCACAGCCTGAGCATATCCATGACTGCGCACATAACCTGAGACGACGCGGATCGCAAAGAATCCCGGGTCAGGTGAGCCTGAACTTCAGTAAGCTGCCGGAGCAACACCACATTCGACGAAACATCGCCAGTGTGCGCATCCGGTTCCAGGACGGATGTCTGTAAAGAGGATAGATACGCCCATGGACCACTACCCGAATCTGTTGGCTGGCGTTACCTCATCGTAGCTCCGATATGATGCTCGCAGAGGGGCTCCCGAATGGAGAAAAGGTGGAACCAGCCAACACTGTTTAGCCGCCGGAGCAGCTAACGAGGAAGCCCAGCTTCCCCGAGGGTCACTGAAGTGAACACGCACTCGTCCACCACCGGTACATGGAAAAGAGAGTCGTCCCCTAACTGGTATCTCTTAACAAGCTCAGGCAGATCGAAGCGAAGCCGAGAAGCAATGAGCAAGGGATCGACCACATCCTGCACCAATGATGGGAGCACGCGGAGCCAAAAGTGGAAAGTTCCCTCTGATTCTTCCGCATCCCCGACCGAACCGAAGCCAGAGGCAAAGGATCAACGGCAAACTCGAGGCTCGGGGATCTAGCCAAGCCTGGCGATCCCGCACCAGAATTTTCCGCCCCACCTCCCGAGTTGGCGAGGAACTCCTGGCGGAACCCAGCAACTGAATAGTGGAGTAACGACTTCATCGAATCCATGTGCTTTTGAAACAAATGATTGATAAGCAACATATCAAATGAAGGCTGAGAACTAACAGGAGGGGAAGAAACAGACGCAGGTTTATCCTGAGTACTTTTAGACCTATGCTTAGGTTTTTTAGCTTTGGATGGAGGGACCTCCAACGTGGGGTCACCCCCCTCTCTCACGTAGTTCTTTGAAGAAAAGGAAGTCTGCTGCTCTCCTTTTCCTAGCCTAAGTGTAAACCCCAGACATAGCTCGCATACGTCCGGATTATGACCGGCCTTCTCAAGGCATCATAAGCATTTTACATGCCCATCCTGAGGTGGTATGTTTTGCCCACAAGCGGAGCACGCCGAAAACGCCTGAAAGCAAACATGCAAAGCATGACGCTAACAGCGGGAAACACCACAAAACATAGAAAATTACGTGAAAAAAAGAACGCAGCATGAAACAATTGTTTTACTAAGCAAATTTCAAACGAGTACAACGCTTAAACTCCCGCCATGGAATAGCAATATTCATGTAAACCACGGGGAACAATAGCGTAAATTACAACTATATGTCACATAAAATAAGACATGAACAACTGAAAGTCAATAAACGTTCCCAAGAACGAATAAGGACAATATACATACAGTAGTCAAAGTCTCAGACATTTCTTGTACAACTCAGCCAGCACGTGTTGCATGTAGCGTGACAGCAGAAGGAATGATGATTTGGGCTAGGGTGCTTACCTGGTTGGCCACACATGTGTGGTAAGGGAGGTAACTCCACGTGGTGGGGGGCCGTATAGTAAATAAAAAGGCCTTTTTATTTATTGTACAATCTTTTATTAAAACATTGTTACAACTGTCACATAACATTTTCAGTCGCAGAAAATGTATATATATGTACCCCAAGGAAGATCTCTATGAAAAAGAACAAATAATTGCAACAAAATCAAATTTTGCACAGTCACATGAAATCGACAGACCAACTCTGTTGATTTGTCTCATAATTTTGGACACCCGAATAGAAAAATTGTTTAAGAAAGGTCATTATTTTGTTGTCACTTTTCGCTATTTTGTACGAGGGGGGATCACTTGCTGGTAGAACAGCCAGGTAATCAAGCATGTGTAGTGAAATTCAATTTTGCCACGTGCAATGTGCAGTCTGGTTAAATTCATTTTGGACTGCTAACATTTTGAAGTTACCAGCCCAGCCCTGATGTCTGGCTGGGTTTTTGGCTTATTTCATACACTGTACACATGTTGATTACTATCATTAAACACACATTCACAAAATTTCATTACATGTTGTACATGAATGGCCATAAAGAGATTTTTCAAAATGGCGTCCATGGCATGCACAAGAGGAAGTACTGACCGCATCATTGAGGTACTGTGGTATCTGTGTAGTCTTGCCTGACCCTGTCTCACCCTCGATGATCAGGACCTGGTGAGCGCGGATAGCATCAATTAGGTCCTGCTTGAAGGGATAGATTGGCAGACTCTTCTTTGTCTCCTCGATGGTCATTTTCTGTTTCTCCCCCTCAGACATTTGGGGCATCTGGTCCTAGTAAAACCAAAGAGTTGGTCTCAGAGAACAAATCATATATGATAATCAAAACACTTTGTACAAGATCTATTCTTGATTATTTGGTCATTATAGTACATAATACAGAATTTGTTTATTCATATGTCTGTAAATGATAACATATGTAATGGTGCTAAACATTGACCACAGTAATCAGCAATTTCAGTCACAACATTGAAGGGTTAAGATCAAAACAAGATCTATTATAATACTATACAAAATAACAAACTTATTTCCCCAGGAAATACATACACAGCAGTACATAAGATCATCAAAACAAACAACACCTGAGTAAAGAAACAGTGTTAATCTCTTCGGGGGAGGACTTACATCATTCATTCATGAGAGACAGACAATCCATAATTACAAGTTTGCAGCATGCTACTGCATAATGTTCATGATGACTAGATAACATTTTAATAGAGAAATGTAATAAAACATACAAAGTCAACCAAAGTCACTGAATTTGCCTATAGCTGAGATTCTGCAATGTTATCAATTTGTGTTATCACCAACAATGGAATGACATCATTGTACTTTTCACAACGATGAAGCATAGTGACCTCAAAAGACTTCAACTGACCAATCAGCATTTAGAATCATTAAAGGAACTGTTTAAACAGTTTCAGATCATTTGTAATATTCCAGCAATAAAATGGCCATAAAAACAGAAATGGGATTCACACATTGTACCAGCATGGGGAATAGAACCTAGGCCTTCATTGTGATGAGCGAACACTTACCAACAGGGCCACCAGACCACCCCAGTGGTACTATGACAGAAATCATTTGCTCACCTTGTCCTTGATGGAGCCGGGCAACTGGAGAGCTTGCACAAACTCGATCTCATCGTCCATGATGACCTCATACTCCTGAGCCTTCTTCTTGGACTTGGCATCTTTGGCGCCAAACTTGAGGAGAGCAGTGGACAGATGGTCCTCCTCCCATCGAGACTGTTCATAGTTGGGTCCGCGCTCCGTCATGTCCTCCACATACCGGTCCTGTGGCTTCACATCGTCCTTTGGCATGTAGTAGCGGTTCACCTTCTCAACATCCCCAGCTTTACGATGGTCCTTGGCTAGTTTCAGAACCTTCTTCTTGTAGTTCAGTTCAGCATGTTCCCTCCTGGTGAGACTGAGGACAGAGAACAGTATGTCAGGAACATGCCCATGTATGTGATGCAGTGCAACTGTTACACTAATTTAACAGCTTAAACATATGGCATCTCTATGTTTTGTCTATTAATCTACATCCTGAAGGAGAGGTGATTTGCTTTTTATTCTGCTTTTAGCAGGGGGGAGGGGTGGACACTAGAAAGGGTTCCACATATTATACCCATGTGTGGTATTGAACCCGGGCCCTTGGCATGATGAACGAACACTTTGACTATTGGGCTACCCCCCATTTGAAGATAAGATGAGATTCTTTAGCAACCAAATACACTGTAGTGGGACGAACATCAAGTCTGATGAGAGAGTGAGTGGGTGGGTAAGTGAGAGAGTGAGTTTGTGAGTGAGTTTGTGAGTGAGTTTGTGAGTGAGTTTGTGAGTGAGTGAGTGAGTGAGTGAGTGAGTGAGTGAGTGAGTGAGTGAGTGAGTGAGTGAGTGAGTGAGTGAGTGAGTGAGTGAGTGAGTGAGTGAGTGAGTGAGGTTTTACGCTGCTTTTAGCAGTATTCCAGCAATATCATGGCAGGGGACGCCAGAAATAGTCTTTACACATTGGGACCATGTGGGGAATCGAACCCGGGGCTTAAGCATGATGAACGCTTTAACCACCAGGCTACCCCACCGCTCCCCATCAAGTCTAAACAATAGGACACCTTCAAATTCAGTGCATGTGAAAATATCGACAGTGATCTGATGTTGGGTATCATACATATAGCAATAATGCATACTTGTACAAAATATTTACATAGACATAACATGTGCCACTTGCAAATCCCACTGGTTAAAATGGTTCCTACTCCTAGTGCCCTTTTATGACGACACCATAAAAATCAGGAGTACATATATACATCAGTACTCACTTCTTGCCATCAAACAGATACTCGTCATCAATGATCTCAGCCTCCAGGTCCTCCAGTTTGTCATGACCTCGCTTCTTGAGGTAGTCGCGGCGGGACTGTTTCCGCAACTCTGGGATGATGTGCTTCCTGTCTTCTGTCTCCAGCTGTAGACGCTTCTTGGCTTCCTTGTACGCCTGCAATGGAGATGTCAAGTTCGGAATTTATAACATTTCACTTTCAACCTAACAAACATGTATATGTATATCAGTGTGTGAGTTGAGTTCTACACCCTTTCAGCAATATTCCAGCAATATCTCGGGGACACCAGAAATGGGATTCACACATTGTTCCCATGTGGGGAATCGACCGGCATGACAAGCGAACACTTTAACCACTAAGCTACCCCACGCCATATGAAGCTGTCATTTGGTTATTAATAAAAGTCAGAAAATGAAAAAAAACTCCTGCTTTTCATCATGATATACTAGAAATGATATCAATGTGGCAAATACTTGAAACAATCTACTGTCAGTCTGTGACTTTCGCCACTAGTCCCAAGCCCAAGTCCAGTAAAATACTTATTTGTATAGTAAGCAAAGCTAATAATAGTCAGTATTATAGCACTTAACTCAACTGAAGAGAATAATTATGATCAAATGTATTTGCTACAGCAGTATTCAAAATAAGTGCTGTTGACACCCGAGTCAGACTTTCTGGAGATTAGATGTTACATCAATACGTACATACCAGCATTTGAAATTCTTTGCATTAGCAAAAGTTAACAAAATCACTGATGTTAAATAATGTTATATGAAAACTGTGACAAACAAACCAATCACTTTCATGTGATGATATGTGACGATGTGATTTAAAAAGATGCATTTACTGCCTAAAAATCTACATAAAGGCACATGGTTGTCAAGGACAGGGACAGAAACACAACAATTTGCATTAACAATTACTTGCTGCTTAGAGAATGCCCTGACCTTCATTCAGGTGTGCTAAGATTTTAGAAAAACATCCTTAAGATATGTCCCCAAAATCCCCTAACACTAGTGAAAACAAAATCTACCTTCTTGTCAGTTTTAGATGTTACAGTTCGTGTTTTCTCCTTGTCTTTGTCCTTCAGTCTCTTGGCAAACTCATCTCGCTCCTTCAGGTCCAGCTGCCGCTGGGCCTCGTCTGAGTCGGAATCTGAGTCCATGTCCTCATCCGCATCCAGGTCATCAGCATCATTCCTGGAAGATGATATAAACACTCATATCAGCATATATCTTGATAGGTGATATAAATATTTGTATCCGCACAATATAATATCTGGAAGGTGATATAAACATTCATATCAGCATCTGGACTGGACCCACACATCAACTTCAGGAACATTCCTGGGACAACTTATAATTACTTGCATCAGCACTAGACCCTTTCTGGAAAACGATGTAAACACAAATATTGGCATCATCAACATTCCTAAAAGGAAACACTGACATGCACATCAACATCAGGATCACACTGGAATTGGCATTATTTCGTGAAGATGATATAAACACATATTTCCACACCAACCTTGTAATATAAACAGTCATATCAGCATCATTCTTGAAAGAAGATATTAAATACTCTTATCTTGCCTCACACATAAATGTCATTTTCCGATTGGCTGAGCGCTTTTCTATTATTTTCAATGTACCCCGCTTACAAGCGAGTAACATTTTCTATATACCCGCTGGGAATGCCGAACTAATTTGGTACTTCGTAGTAGTAATTCTTTATCTCGAATAACATTGAATCACGTATGATGTACGGAAATTACTGATGTTTTCCGAATGCAAATAGATGGAAGGGAGATAACTCTAAAAATAAAATTCTTGTCGTCTGGTACTCCATACTATTTTCTGATACCCGTGCTTCAAACAGTTAAAAAATTACCATTTAAGTGTTCGGTAAGATAAATTTGTTGTCACTGGTCCTTCGGGGCCCATGGGTTGATGTACCCTTGATGTTTCTTTATATCCTTCAGGCTTAGGGATCATAAACAAACACTGAGGGTACATCATTCTCCCCCCCCCAGTCAACAACTTATTATATCTTCATTTGCACCATTCATGGGAGATGATATTAACACTCATGGCATCATCACCATTCCTACAGGATTACATAAACACTCAAATCAGCATCAGCATCACTCCTGGGAGATAATATGTCAACTATTACTTAATGCATGGATGAATTACTTTGATAAATAAACTTGTATGTAAATGTTACTGTTACACACACCGGTATTCGTAACCCACTGGATTGAGAGAGTGAGTTTAGTTTTACGCCGCTTTTAGCAATATTCCAGCAATATCACGGCGGGGGACACCAGAAATGAGCTTCACACATTGTACCCATTTGAGGAATCGAACCTAGGTCTTCGGCGTGACGAGCGAACGCTTCAACCACTAGGCTACCCCACCTCCCCGGAACCCACTGGATGGCCTTAAGACTCCTGTGTATGTACACTGAGATACATACCTGTCACTCTCACTACTGCTCTCAGATGATTCTTGCTTTTTGCGAATGTTTCTTTTTTTCTCCTTTGAACTTCTCTTTGGCATCTGCAACACAGAAGAAGGTAATGTCAATTAATTAGTTACACCATCCTGATCAGTTCTGAATGTGAGTGTGTGTTTACTGCTTTGAATACAAAATGCCTTTTAGATAGTTGTCAAATGGAACATATGTTATTTTAGGCATTACACTTTCTGAATGAAGTACAGATATGTAATTTTTTAAGTTCAATAAAATCGTTTTGATAGGCAAATGACATGATAGCTTCATTATTATTGTAAACTATGGAACACGAATGGCTAAAAATAGAGCCATGCCAGAATGCGGTAAAAATACCCGCCAATAGCATTTGAGTATGTCATTCACAATTTTCAGACAGTATATAGCAGTTGAATACGTCATTCGCTATATTTAGACTATATTTTGGTCATTTAAGCATTGTCTGTCCTGCTAAGAAACAGTGGTCGCTTGACTCGTTTTTTGGTAATGAGAGCAAGAAAAACAAATATCCTGACGTTTCTAATGATGAGCACTAAAACCAGCTGCAAATCATGACCTGAGATATGTGAATTCGGGCAAAAAATAAATCGAACCCCTTCACATTTGGTTGTCAAAATAATCAGAAGTCGACATGAGACATCAAACTTCTAAAGATCACATTGAACAGTTACAATTCATGAAATGAAACAGCATTTCAGCACATCTGTCAAAAATGTAGAAAGGCAGGCTTCTTGATTCACACGAGGAAATATTATACACAAATTTTAATGACTCCCAAATAAGGAAAATGACTTTCTAAAATAAATACTGTGAGTCACCATGATTCCCATTTTGCAAAGTCTGTGTAAAACCCTGTGATAAAGTACTGTGCACCTTTGATCTTTTAGTGAAAGTACTGAAACATCTTAGAATGTGTGTTAAAATACATTTTGAATTTGTGACATCACTTTAACATGTTTAAACATTTGCACATATGTTTATTACAGGGGTTGGTTAATGCTGTCAACATAGTTTAACCGTGATAACTAAATGGTTTCCATTGTGCAAGCGATCCTAAGATGACTGGAGTAGCCATACCTTAACACAGGCGTACAACAGTTATAGCACTAAGATTGTTTCCTACAACGGCACCACATACATAATCTGGATTAAATCATAAATGGATTTTAGAAAACAAATCAATTACTTATGAACATTAAAGCAACCTGTGTTTTGTGAAATTAATCCCAACCCAAAACAGACTATGAAGTCTTAGACTATGAAGTCATTAGAGGTGCTGAAACCAGTCTGTTAACTCCTGTTTTGCTACCTTTTTGCAGTATGGTCAGTGTGCCATGGCTATAATGTTCAACATAGGACAGTGAGTGAGTGAGTATGGTTTTATGCCGCTTTCAGCAATATTCCAGCATTATCACGGCGAGGGACACCAGAAATGGGCTTCACACATTGTACCCATGTGGGGAATCGAACCCCGGGTCTTCGGCGTGACGAAAGGGCGCTTTAACCAACAGGCTACCCCACAGCCCCTCAACATAGGACAGCATGGTTTACATGTTTAACAGTGCATAGAATGATAGACATCTGGAAACTGGCATAGAGCCAGTTTGTTAGTAAAGACTTTGCACAAATACTTAAGGACGGAAAACTCACATGAACTACTGAGAGTTTCTAGGACTTCTGTCCTGCTCCCACAACGAAGCACTTAATATTTATGTGGTCACACCCTGGGCAAATAAGTTTGTTCAAAATTGCCTCTGTTCACCCAGCTGAAAATGGGTACCCGGTGGTATAAAGTCATATGACTATTAACCTTCCAGCCAAACAGACAGCTTGGGTTATCCAGGGTAATAATGCCCATGATGTTGTATGTGCTTAGAGCATGTCCCTGGGTCATTGAGTTCAGCACTATGTAAGTGGCCTATTATCATAATTAATATAATGCAGTAAAAACACTGGTGTACTCATGGTAATAGAAACGTGATACACAAACTAGTGGTAATCCAACAGTCTCTTCATAACTTACTGTTGCAGCAGGCACAGCATCTTCATCATCATCAGACAACAGAGTATATGTCTTGTTCTTGTGTTCTAGTTCCTTTTGGCGATGTTGATCTGTTGTCAAAGCTCTCTCAATTTTCTTTTTATGAGGAACCTGCAGGAACAGATGAAAAAAATATGAAATTTAAAGTTTATTTTACAATTCAAAGAAAACGTGCTGTGTTTAATGTTCGATTGTGAGATGTTCTGATAACGTGTTCGAGTACATGACAAATACCTTACAACTACACTAAGGATCGTAAAGGACTGGGCTCAAATGCAGTTTACAAGGTGTAGCACCAGCCAGCCATGCCTGCATGCCCACTGTTTCGCAATATCACTATTTGCCTCAAGCTCGCCAGTGGTACTACTTTTGAGGCAAACAACACTTTACGATCATTAGGCTTTAAATAGGTTAGGTTGAGGGGCTGTAGGTGAATTCGTAGACCAGACTAGTTCGTAGACGTGGAAATCCAGCGGATTCGTAGACGGAGTGAGCGGTGGATTTGTAGACGTTTTTAAAATGGGAAAAGTTCAACCTCAATGATGAAGAAAATCGACGAAAAGTGTTTGCATTTTGTGAAATAAATAAAATATATCAGGTAAGTATGATCGGCGGTGAAAATATGTTTAAAAATAATGAAATAATAAAATATGCTTCACAGTGGTCCATGTCCGACAAATTCCGACAAATCATAGGCCCTTAGCTGCCCTTAGTTTCGTATCACTGAAAACAAAGCATAACAACTTCGTTATACACATTCTAAGTAAAAATCAAACTAAATATATACTATTATTCAATTATTAATACACGTCTACGAAATCACCGTCTACGAACCAGTCTGGGTTACAAATCCACCGCGTCTACGAACTGGTTCATTCTACGAAATCACCGTATCCCGGTTGAGGTACCCATTTCTATCCTGATGGTTAAGGTACCCTTTCAGATCCATAGGGAGGTGAAGGAATGATTGGCACTAGCAACCAGGTCAACTGCAGTATTTGGTTCCCGGCTTCGCGAGTTTGGAGGCAGAATCACTGCAGTCTACCCCGAGCTACCTAACCCTGAAGATCATAAGGGGTGTTTAATCTGAATAATCGTGCCCTACGTGAGATACAAACTCTGTCACGAGAGTGGACAACAGTGAAACTTGTTGAGTTAAATTATAATTCTCATACACACCCGACTAAATAATTCTTTTGCAAACTGTGTCACTTGCTCATCGACATCCACTGCTCCCCGTGTCGCGAAGTTTATCGACGAATTCGTCATGACTTTCAGACTTCGCTGCAAGTCCAACGAAATACTGGCCGATGTATTTGTCGGATATGCCTAATAGATCGTGGAGCTTGTCATTTACCCACGTTTCTATAGAAGCCATTGTCTTAGTGGGCCTTTCGTTTGATATTCTCTAAGGAAATTCAAGAAAAACACATATTTGTTGACTTGTGCTCAATGGGCGCAGCCATTTTGTCAAAACGCACAGTGGTCGTTCTTGTGTACACACATACTGATGACGTAGTACGTACGCGCTCGCAGAGATAGACTTGCTGACTTTATTACCCAAGCAAGTGATTGCTGGACATTAGAATCTATGTCGAAACGTCGCCTTTACCAGGGATAATCTACAGCACGTCTTCTATTCTCCCTGCCCCACAGAATAAAAGAAGTTGTATATCCATAAAAAAATAATCATCATTCTTCAAATGAGCAAAATATATGTGGACATAAATAATATCCTTCCGTGAAAAGAAGATGTTCCCTTGAAACAATTTTTATTTACTCAACAATATCCAAGGTATATCGCAGAGGTCAGCCCAGCTAGTGAATGAAAGCGGGAGCCACGAACAAGGGCCCTGTAGTCTTGAGCAGTCTCTATTTCATCGTACAGTAGTAATAATAGAAACTCTTGGTCATGTTGGTGAGTGAGTGAGTTTAGTTTCACACCACACAAATAATCCAGCTATGTGGCGGCGGTCTATGAATAATCGAGTCTGGACCAGACAATCCAGTGATCAACAGCATGAGCATCGATCTACGCAATTGGGATACGATGACGTATCAACCAAGTGAGCGAGCTTCTTTGAGTGGCATTTTTGAAGTTGGGAAGTACAATATAGATCAAACTTTATGGATAACAACTTCTTTTTATTCGTGAGCGCGACGTTTCGATACAGATTCTTGTACCGTTGTCAAGCATAATGGGACATGAAGAAGGGGGGAAGTATATATATACTGGATGTAACAATGTAACAAAGAAAACAACATAATTAACGTAATTGGCTAGGCAGAAAGCTGATGAAGCCAGGGAGTAGACAAAGGACAGGCGTGGAAGCCAATGATGTACAAATAATAATGAGATGTTTATACAGCAGAGTTTATACAGTAGATTGGGCTTGGTGGATGAGTGCATCATAAGCGGATGGAATGAAGTATCCTTGGTCTCGGTTGATGGTGGGCTTTTGGCGTTTGATGTGGATGGCTTCGGTGAGCTCGCGTTTAGTGAAGTCTGTTTGTTTGTTAGAGAGAATGGTGATGTCAGACCACTCTAGCGAGCCTGACCACCCGATCCTGTTAGTCGCCCATACGACAAGCATTGGTTACTGATGACCAATTACCCGGATCTTCACGGGTGCTTGAATTTAAACCGGTTCAAGAACTTTCAATTCCATATATTCTTTGTAAAATTTGTCATTCGCCTGACCAGGAATAGCTTTATAGTTTTCAACAGAGGACACCTATCCCATTTCAATCTCAGTCGATAGCCAATATATACTAGTATATCTCATCAGTGCAATCTAGCCAATATATACTAGTATATCTCAGAAGTGCAATCTAGCCGATATATACTAGTATATCTCATCAGTGCAATCTAGCCGATATATATTAGTATATCTCATCAGTGCAATCTGATGAAATCTACGATGAAGCAACTTTAATCAAAACATTTACCTACTCTCAACCTAGCACCGGGGAATTTTCTCAATAGTTAAGTTGAATTTCATCTTGTAACTACATCAATGACAATTTGAATAGGATATGATTTTAAGAGATTCCGGTCTTATTAGGTACAATACGGTACTTGTCATTACACATCCTATCCGTCCATGACTGACGATAAAGAATAGTTTGCTTTAATGATCAACGAAAGGACTGGATTAATCCTAACAACACACACGGCTGATGACCAGTTCATCAAAATGCGATTTTCACTCGTATAACGCATCGTCACATTCATCCTTTCCCTTATAATTGGATCAATATCACATCTTTATAGGATATGTTCGGCCTGCTGGTCTTGTCAGGAATAAAGATTATGTATACGGATGCACAGGTCATGCTTGGGTCAAATATGGGAGGAGTGAATGTTGAGTGTGTTAGGAGTGAGTGAGTGAGTTTGGTTTTACGCCGCTTTTAGCAATATTCCAGCAATATCCCGGCTGGGGACACCAGAAATGGGCTTCACACATTGTACCCATGTGGGGAATCGTGTTAGGAGTGAATGCCGAGGGTGATAAGAGTGAATGTTTAAAGTGGGAGGAGTGAATGTTGAGTGTTACGAGTGAATGTTTAAAGTGGGAGGAGTGACTGTTGAATTGGGAAGAGTGAATGTTGAATTGGGAAGAGTGAATTTTGAGTGTTAGGAGTAAATTCTAAACGTCTTAAGAGTGAATGTTGAATTGGGAAGAGTGAATGTTGAATTGGGAGGAGTGAATATTGACTGTGTTAGGAGTAAATGCTGAACGTGCTAAGAGTGAATGTTGAACGTGGGAGGAGTGACTGTTGAATAGGGAGGAGTGAATGTTGAGTGTGTTAGGAGTAAATGCTAAACGTGCTAAGAGTGAATGTTGAACGTGGGAAGAGTGAATGTTATTTGTTAGGAGTGAATGCTGAACCTGCTAAGGGTGAATGTTGAATTGGGAGGAGTGAATGATGAGTGTGTTAGGAGTCAATGCTAAACGTGCTAAGAGTGAATGTTGAACGAAGGAGGAGTGAATGTTGAATTGGGAGGAGTGAATATTGATTGTGTTAGAAGTAAATGCTAAACGTGCTAAGAGTGAATGTTGAACGTGGGAGGAGTGAATGTTATTTGTTAGGAGTGAATGCTGAACCTGCTAAGGGTGAATGTTGAATTGGGAGGAGTGAATATTGAGTGTGTTAGGAGTAAATGCTAAACGTGCTAAGAGTGAATGTTGAACGTGGGAAGAGTGAATGTTATTTGTTAGGAGTGAATGCTGAACCTGCTAAGGGTGAATGTTGAATTGGGAAGAGTGAATGTTGACCGTGCTAAGAGTGAATATTGAATGTTTTAGGAGTGAATGATGAGCTTGCTAAAGGGTGAATTCTGAAGGTGTGAGGAGTGAATGCTAAACGTGTGAGGAGTGAATGCTAAACGTGGGAGGAGTGAATGCTGAACGTGGGAGGAGGGAATTCTGAACGTGATAAGAGTGAATGCTGAACGTGGGAGGAGTCAATGCTGAACCTGCTAAGAGGGAATGTTGACTTGGGAGGAGTGAAAATTGAACGTGGGAGAGGTGAATGAGGAAAGACCAAGATGACAAGGGAGAGCAGGGAGAGTGAAGAGTCTTGGTGTAGAGTGAGTGAGTGAGAATAACTGGAGAAGTGAGTGAGGAGCGTGACGGAGTGAGGACAACGGGTGGAGTGAGCGATGAGTGAATGAGTTGAGCGAGAGAAGAGAAAAGAGCGGAGGCCTGAGTGTGGAGTGAGTGAGTAGACTGGCTTGAGTGTGTGAGAAGAATGGTTGACATGCATGCCTTTTTGGTGATCGTGGTAATATGTTTTATTCATAATAAACAACCTCGTGCAACTGTACACTTATGGGTAATTATCATCTCCTTCTAAAAGTAAGTTATCAGCCAAATATTCGTAAACTTACATTAATATTTTGCCCGAGTGAACCGCACTATTTCTTAGGTTGTGTCAATGGTAGATTTTGCACGGTAACCTCATTTGCATATTTATCGGATTGTAATACGAACTGAATCTGGCCTATCGGATCGATAACATCATTTACTACATGATACATTTTGGACAGCTACTACTAAAATATGAAGAACGTTTATTCCTCTTCTAGGGCATAGCTGTGACAGACTGAACGAGAAAACAGAGATGTGATGAGACACGAACATGAGATAATTATCGTATGCGAATACATTTTTTCAATTGTTTGCAATGTCGTTAGCGTTATTCTTGGATTAATATAATGACGTCATTGAACAAAGAAGTTAAGAGAAATATGCGAAATGTTTGTGGTTGTTCCTCGAAATACAAGCTAGAAATAATCACATATTTTGCTAACCTAGTTAAACATCAGACCTGAATATTTATTTGATTGTATATAGTTACGTACTTGTGAGTATGTTTTCTTTTTCTGATACGTCGATAGGATGCACCGGACAAGGTAAACTAAACAATACGTATATGCGTTGTCTTCTGACGTATCATCTACAAAAGACAAATAAACAAGTTAAACGAGCTTTAGAACTTCACGTCAGACGGGAACAAATGAGACACGTTGCCTAGATACATTGTTATATAAATAAGTAATCGACGAGTGTAATATTTAACAACTATTAATCGGTAATGTTATTTCCCTTCAAATACTATTTGCTCCGGGACAAAGTACCAGACACGTCTTGCTATTGGAGAGCCTACGGAAGCACTGAGAAGATTTAAACACACAATACCAAGCTTTACTGAAATAGTCGCATTTGTTTTGTTTGCTGAAATATTGAACGAATCATTGTATCGGATCAGTCCAAATATTCTCTTGAAGAGAAGCCGTGCTTTATTTCTCATTGACGTGAATCTGCGTGTCTGTTTGCCAACATATGCTTTGAAGTGGTCCGGGAGCGAGTTATCAGCAGTTTGATATAGTCTACGTTGTACTGGATGTTTGACGTGATCAGGGATCGATCGATAAGACAGAGTGACGCCGTCGATCTATTTTCTTGTGTCAGGGGTTGCAGTTCTTGAACATTACAGACATATTTGCAAGTCGACACTGTAAAGGTAAGATGGAGAACACTTTCAAAACGTGTTATGGGATATAGTGGTATTCGCTTAAGAAGACGTATAGAGAACAGTTAGAAGTCATGAGTATGAAACATAATTGCATGAAAATACTCTGTAGTATCAGACAGGGAGGTGCCAATACGCACGTGTTTTTTGGTCAATTTCGTACATCCATGTGTTTTTCAAGTTCGTAGATAC